ATTAATAACAGCCATTCTCTGAACTTCTTAAAACAGTGTTTGCGAAATGTTGACTACATATAGATATCTGTGTAGACAACAGAGAAGCCTCTCTGCAACATAACTAGATAATAATTCCAGTACCACTTTGCATTTTCATGAGAAAGTGATTTAGACAAATTGCCACCTACCACATAAAACTGAAACCTTATAGAAACATAAGCTTTTTTTGAAAAGAAATAAAATGAAGTTTTGATTTGAGTTTGTTGCTTCCTCAGTACATATAGGAAAAAAGGAGAGAATTTTTTTTGTGGACAAAAGCTGCTAAGAAGCAACACGGCTTCAAATGCAAAGACATTTAACTCTCATCTCTTCAAATGCAAAGACATTTAACTCTCATCACAGTGAAAATGCTAACTGCGAGCAGCTATGACAAATAAGAACTCTAAACCCCAAAAGCACATGATAGCTGTACACAAACTCATCACCCAGTTTTCACAGAAGTTTGTAATTCAATGACCTCTCCTCCAGATGAAGGATCTTCCTTTAGTCACTACTCCGAAAAACTTTCTGCTGACCTGCTGACGTAAGTTTTCTTTGGTCTACATTACACACACATGAATGAGACTAAGAGACTGGATGACGGCAGTACAAGCCAGTACCTGATATGAAAGGTTTGCAGTGAAAGATTCAATTACAAAAAAATATAAATCAGAAGCCACAAAGCTATTGCAAAAATAACAGGATCACTGGACTTTTCACATACCTCTGTATTAAATTCAGGCAACTGTTACCACAATCTCTTTCAGGATAGTATTATTTTTTGGGGATCGTTTCAGATCTCAAATGAGCATACCCCCAACCAAGTTCAGGAGAAATGAAGCAGGCACACACTGTATCACAGGAACTGCACAGAGATGCTGAGAATCTTCTTATTCACATACTTGTCTCTCATCTAATTAGATTAATATAATTAGGAGCTCTACCTGAGCTGTAACTTGTATCATATTACATTTGTAATTTTTCTGGGCATAGAATATATTAAATTTTCATAGAATAATTAAAAAACCTTTTTTGCCCAGGTTGGATGGGTCTTTGGGCAACCTGGTCTAGTGGAAGCTGTCCCTGCCCATGGCGGGGGGGGCGGGGGGATGGAACTAGATGATCTTTAAGGTCTCTTCCAGCCTGAATCATTCTATAATTCAAGCAGATTTTGTCAGGTAATGGAATAAGGCATAAGCTCTTCCCTTAAAAGTCAGTTTCATTTGATAACAAGATTGGTTTACTACACTTAAGTCATTAAAAAAAACGGGGTTGTCAAACAAACACTCAAGAAAAAAAAAAAAATCTCACTGTGTGTCTGCCTCAAATTCTTTACTTTTTAATTCAGCTACTATAAATATTCCTCCAAACTGTAAACAGCGTAAGCAGCTGCCCAGCCCTCAAGTCATACTGGGTTCTGCATTTGTATATTTACAGCAGAAAGGATTAATGAAAAGACAGGGAAGAGCTGTACAAGTCCTGTTCTTGAAGCCTTTCAGGTACAGATTTTGCTAAATTACAGTAAGGCACATGAAGCTGTTCACAGCTGGAAACCGTCTACACAGCCCAACAGTAGAACCTGCTGGATCACACTGTTTTGTTTACCATTTTCTTCACAAAGAGGTAACTGCAAGAACACGTATTTTACTGGATTAGAACATGTGCTTCTAGAAATAGCCATCTCTTACATCACTAAAATAAAATTTAATAAAGATAAAACTTTGTATTTTCAGTACAAATGCACAACACAGCTATTAGATGACACCTGGAGATAAAGCCCCTCCATATCTTTTCAGATGAATATCGGAAAGCAGTACCGAACTAGCTCCTGAGCACCCCGACCAAGACACGACAGCTACGACGTCAGCTACTAACATTCACTAGGTTAGCGAAGTCACTTTTACGTCAAAAAAAAATACATCTATGCAGAAAAAAAACCAGTTAAAGAACTTCCAAGGGCATCTGTAAAAGCACATTTACATACAGGATCATTGCAAAAATAAAAATCACAGAAATCCTTTTCCTTTTAACGGGTCTGGGGTCTGGGGAAGGGCCCCGCGCCCGTCACGAGCACAGGCAACAGAGGATCGGCCGCGCACCCAGGCTCACCGCAGGCCTTGCACCGGGGCCTGCGGCACGGCCACGGGCGGGCGCCCGGTGCGGGGCTCCC